TACAAATTCTACCCCACCCTTTCGACTTACGGGTTGCATTTCGTCTGAATGTTTAGTAGTCAGCACTGAGACATCACGCTTATCCTTCCACTTCAACGCCACCAATTTCCCACACTTTGCACTAACTACTCCTTTCTTCAGTTCATTTTTTAGATCCATTGGCATAACTTTGCGCGTGATACTCACTGTTCCAACAGCATCTGTTGTCCTCTGAACTAATCTCTGGAAAAGTTCGGGCCTGCTATAAAAATTGTCCATATAAAACACATCTGCTCAAGTCTAATAGTTCTTCGCACAAACTTAGAACAACTTTTGTTGAGGAAAGATCTGTGTCTTTGGTGATTTCACAGCCTAATTTTATCCCTGATCCACTCTAAATTATAAAATTCCACAAATATTCTGTGGAATCACAAAGTTAAAAAATTTTAATCCCAAACCGGGAAGCTTTCATAGGAATATACTGTTTCCACGAAAGTCTATCTTTCCACAATAACAAAGATTCATCGACACTTACTTCTTTGCCCCGTATGTACACTTTCTGGAACTTATTTTTCAAATATTCACTTACCGGAAGAATTTTGTACAATTTAGGATCTCTTTTTGCAATTTCCTTATCGGTGTTATGTACAAAATGGAGAAATCTGGTCAGCAATGAAAACCTTTCTTCACTCGTTACATTGGGAAAAAATGGTGTTTCTAACATATGTTTCCTACTAAAATACACCCTGAGGTTTGGTCTCTGAATTATTCCCATCAGCATAAGGAAACCTAGGAATATCCTAATTTCATTCGAAGTTATGGGAACCCACTTTTGAAAGCGCTATTTTATTAGCGTCGGGGCAAGAAACTGTCCCGCCAGACAAGTTACGTGACCAAATGCCATGGGGCTCCGATAAGAGGGTGTCGCAAAGCAGAAAAGGAATAACAGATTCATAAATGTTGACACAGGCGTCAGGCAACTTCGACCCCGAGGTTCGTTACATCGTAAATCAGACACAGCTTCTTTGTCGCCAGTAAGCCAAGCCAGTAAAAAGAAATACACACACAGATAACAAGCACTCAATGAAAGTTAGCTAACAAATTATCTCTCTGTAAGCAAGTCGGAGTGTGAGTTGGAACAATTCTTTCGTAAGCAGCAGACACCAGATGCTTTGTCGCAAGCAAAGCGAGTAAAAAAATTACCACACACAAACAGATAGCAGGAATGAAAGAAGTCAGTGTTAGCTGACATATACATTCACTGGAAGTACACACATCAGAGCGTAGGTGTTAAGAATTCTTAGTAAAAAGTTTGGACGCAATATATGCGGCGCGCACGCTTACAACACGGCTTTGAGTGGACACAGACGGTGCGTCGCACATGCTTAGGGATTTAAATGGCTCCGCTAAAAGTCATGCTCAAGGGGTTAATAATGCGCCTGCGATACCATTGGATATGAATCTGAGCATATTCCATTGACCTCTCTTCTTTATAATCCATCCCCCTGAAATGGTATGCCCTAACCATTATCCACCCCTTTCCTTCTCAGTCTTCCAAGTAGACTTTTCCCAAGAAATATTCCTGTCAATATTGTATATGCAATACTTGTTTCTCATGTCCAAGCCACATACCTGCTCCATTATAGCCTCTTAGATTTCAGTGTCTTCACAGTAATAGGCGACCCATGAAAGTCTTGAACCTCCTCATTATATAATATCCTAAAGTGTTCACTTACATCATCTTTCTTGGGCCCAGGTATTTTCCTTGGCACTTTATTTTCAGACATTTGTAAATTATATTCTTCACTCAGATTGGAAGACCACAGTTTTATTTTAAACTATCATATAAAGTGTAATATCACATGCTTTGATTGAATGATTTGTTTTATTTTTTTCCAGGTATTCACATTATTTCCAAGAATTTGGAAATCTTATAGACGAGAACAGCAAAAATATGTTACAGAAATCCTGTGTACCTATGGATAATAGTCTGCAATCCTATGGAAGTTTTCAGTTCAAACAGAAGAATTGCCATGAGAAAATTAATAGTGATGTCACATGTAATCAGTTCTTCCTGTATAAAACTCCTTCCTTGACTGATGATGCACATGAAAGAAAGTCAATGAAGAACTATGACAGTTCATTCATTGATAACAGTGTGTCCTGTAATAAAAGGAGCAAGGAAAATCAGAATACAATGAACCCTATCAGTTCTGTTTTGTCAACACTGGGGCCTCATAAGAATGGAGTTGCAATGGAGCCAATTTCAAAGAGGTAAGCACTTATTGTATTTGTCTCACTATAAAGTAAACATCAAATGTCTCCTGAAAGTTCGATTGCAATTTTAACTTCATGCAGCAGATACTTGCAAATGCAGCTGGTCAGGAAATTTCCCACCTTTTACAGAACCCAGATGTTGATTAATGTGTTTACAGGAACTGGCCACTGAACTCTGTCCTCAGTCTGCTGAATCCATTCCACATCATCCTATTGTATTAACACATTCAGGACCGGAGGGGCCAATTGGCCCTCTACGTTTCTGTAGCATTGCGGACCTGGCAGGCCAATTGGCCCTTTTCTGACGCGTTGTGTTGCAACCGACTATATCTCACTGTGTGGCCACGTTGCATCATTACTACTGCGTAGTTCACCTCGGGAATGTTTGCTAGCTTAGCCATTAACGTGATCATGCTCATTTCCTGTCACACCCTAAAGAAAAAAGCATCTGTTCGAGTTCAAGCTTCCACGTATGAACCAGGAAGTTAGCAGTGCAACAATTATCAGAGACAAAAGCAGTTGCAGGCGAAGCGTTCTCTCGAAGAACAAGAAATATTAGATTTGTTCTACGATGAGCTATCAGATTTGCCAACTGCTTCGTCTTCTGATAGCGAGGCCAGCCTCAGTGAAAGTGACAGTGACAGTGACAGGGGCCACAGGGCCCCCCAAAATATTGTGTCCAGTGAAAGTGAGAGCTCCGATGAAAGTTTCCAGAGATATCATACGCGCAAGCACTTCTAGGAGCTCTGGTAAGTGTTCTCCAAAAATTTTTGTTCATAAAATTAATTAGGAGATTTTATATTAATTTTTAAACTGAACAGTGCACAAGTTAGGGTGCTAGGCTTAAAAACCCCGGTCCCCAGGGTGATTTAAATATCTAAACAACCGTTCCGCAATGTGTTAAGATCCATTTCAGTACTATTTCCCACTCTGTGTCTGAGTCTCTCATGTACTTTCTTCCTTTCAGGTTTCCTTGTTACAGTTAGTTTTATGCATTTCTCATATCCCCCATGCATGTTACCACCTTTATTTAATTATGTAATAATATTTGATAAAAGGTACAAATTATGCAGTTTTTCAATTCTCTTGTTACTTATTATGGCACAGGACCATATAATCTCCTAGGCACAGTGTTCTCAAAAACCCTCAGTCTGTAAGAAAAGAGATCGAATTATAATTCCGTGTATATTACTCTTTCCTAAGTGAATGGTAGCAAGCATTACCAAAAATTAACCTGTCCCTAACTTTTTCATGATTTTGATTTTGATTTGTTACTGTCATTCCCAAGTGATTGCACTTTGCCACATTGTCAAAATATTTATTAGCAATTTTTGTATTATGATTTTGTCGTGTATTCTGGTAATGAAACTTGAAATTTACTTCCATACCAAACATTGACTCCACATTGTAATTATTAATGATATTTTTGGCAATAGTTTTTAATAAAACATCTACCAGAACTTGATGATCTTGAACAGAATGTGAAATAATTTGTTTCATTGTTTGGATATAAAGCATGAATTATAAATTGTATATATATATTTCTGTGAATGCACAGTTTTCCTCAAGGAATTATATTATTGAAATATTCATATCTTGTTTTATGCATATTATCTGAGAGATAATTTTTATAGAAATCTCAGATGGAGACCCTCTTGGGTGAGTGTTTTTGTAGTTTTCCTTCCTTCTTTCTTTGTTTCCTGCCTCCCCTCACCTTTCCTTCATTCAGGCTAAGTTACACCTTAAAATATAACAGCTGGAAGTTCAGTTTACTTCTTGGTTTGAAACTTTTATTTTTCATTTAATAATAAATACTTTATATATTCTTCTGCATAAGATATTGTTCAGCAATTACAAACGTGATAGTGGTGCGAAACTTTTGTGTTTATATCCAACAATGTTAATATAGACAAGCTCTGCACATAAGTATATTGTAACGTGTCTGGAATCCAGAAGTCACTTCTATGGAAATGCTAGAACAGACCGTTGCATAAGAAGTAACAATAGCGATACTGTAATTCCAACAGTGAGCTGTTGTATCTAGAACATCGAATCTCCATGGTAACGACAAACAAAGCAACGTCTCCATGGTTATAACGGAGGGCTCGTTGCCTAACAGCGGGCAAGGTTATAAATAGCCCAGCTTCTGCGAGAAACAGTGCGTCTCGGATCAGTCTTCGAAGAAGTGAGTCGCGGAACAGTCTCCGCAGAAGAAAGCTTCGGATCGCCCGTCTAAGAAGTCAGTTTGGAATATCCGTCTGGGTCCAGTATCGCCGGAATATTGTAAGCAGTGATTGTGACACTGCAAGTGAAAATGCCTGTAAAGTGTGTGTAAGTGAGCGAAGGAAATAAATTCGCTATACCAGACGACGGCGTCAACTTATTTGTAACGTGACAACCAAACACGCTACATTGGTGTCAGAAGTGGTTTACGAACTTAAACACGCCTTATGTTACTGCTACAAAATGGAAATGCAGCAGATAATGGAACTCCTGCTGGCCATGCGAGAAGAACGAAAAGCTGACGAGGCCAAGGCGGAAGCCAGACACAAAGAGCTGATGGCCGATTGGAAAGCCACCCACGAGAAGATTGATCCCCACCCAGAAGCGATGCAGTCCATACTGGAGCATCAAGAAGTCCCCGTAGAAGACGCCCCGAGAATACCGGTCGGAGAACCGAAGAAACGGCGTAGGGACGAGAAACCGGCCGCGGAGCGCCGCCCCCAGAAACCGAAGGATTCGGCAGGGGAAAATCGTGGGCCCCAAAAGGAATTGGCCACCACAAGAAGGAAGACATCCCGTCGCGCGACAGTGGCACGACGTTGGAGAAACGACTCCAAGAGGAAAGCTCCCCAGGGAACCCTCGGATGCCAGCGGAAGAAACTGGCCGTTGCCCCCAAAGCGACAACATGCCGTGCGAAAGCGGCACGAAGACCGCCAATAGACAACAGGATGTCCCTCCGTACAAAAGTAGTACGACGTAGGGGACGCACCATGGGGACCAGCCCAACTTGGAACAACGTTGCAAGGGGAGCCCCTAAATGGCGAAGAGTTCAGGTTGGATCGGAGGGCAGTATTAGAGTAAAAGACGCAGACACAAGACAGCGGCTGCATCCAAAAAACGAGAGAACAGCCAGCCGAACCCTCAGGAAGAACCAAAGACTAGAGATTGAGACTCAAATGATTGGACCTCATACCAGCCCGAAGACAAAAATGAATTGGACCCTGTGGAGGGGCTGACCCCCTCCAAAACGAAAAAAGGGAACCGGCCATTATGGGAGGAACCGGTAAAGTGCCGGCCTCCCCAGCAAATATGCATGAAGAATGAAAGTGAGGAATGAATGTGAAACAAGGCGACAGACAAATTCTGGACCACGGGAGTGCTCGGGGGCGAGCACCACCGAAGAGAGGGGCGGATGCGGTTAAACGAACACCACACGAAGACGCCAACAGAACGGCAAGGCCGGATGCAGACGTTGCCAGCAAAACACCGCGGGATCGAAACCGAGGGAGGACCTTTAGGCTGTTCGGGGACGAACAACCTTTAGAAGGGAGCAATGTAACGTGTCTGGAATCCAGAAGTCACTTCTATGGAAACGCTAGAACAGACCGTTGCATAAGAAGTAACAATAGCGATACTGTAATTCCAACAGTGAGCTGTTGTATCTAGAACATCGAATCTCCACGGTAACGACAAACAAAGCAACGTCTCCATGGTTATAACGGAGGGCTCGTTGCCTAACAGCGGGCAAGGTTATAAATAGCCCAGCTTCTGCGAGAAACAGTGCGTCTCGGATCAGTCTTCGAAGAAGTGAGTCGCGGAACAGTCTCCGCAGAAGAAAGCTTCGGATCGCCCGTCTAAGAAGTCAGTTTGGAATATCCGTCTGGGTCCAGTATCGCCGGAATATTGTAAGCAGTGGTTGTGACACTGCAAGTGAAAATGCCTGTAAAGTGTGTGTAAGTGAGCGAAGGAAATAAATTCGCTATACCAGACGACGGCGTCAACTTATTTGTAGCGTGACAACCAAACACGCTACAATATGTTATTTAATGAGACAACTTGTCTCATTAATGTGTCAGTGACTTGATGAGCAATATTTAAAGCTAGTGCACTTCAAGCAGAAAAACAAGTATTGGTTGACATACCAACATTAACAAGAATAATGATGACATTAACAACAGTAATGATAATGGCAATAGCAGGAACAACAACGATCGTGATATTAATAATATGACAGAAGTAGATGATCTCCCAGCTTGGTAAAGAACAGCAGTGACGTTCATTCTTCTAAAAAATGGTAATACTGCATAGTCCAGAAACTACTGTCCAATTTCATGCCATCCTACGGTGTGACAAGGTAGCACACTGCTAGGCCATTAATTAAATTGCACATTATTGTTGGATGGTTAATTTTCATTGCCTAAATGTGTGGGACTGGAAGGTTAGAATAGGACAGTAAGCTTAATGGGTTCCATTTGAAATTTCAAGTGACTTAGTCCCACCCCACTAGCAATAAAAAAAATAATAAATAATATCCATTTTCTTTCTTACCAGAAACAGCATTCCTAATCATGTGATGGTGAAAGGCTTGGATGTAATTGCTGACATTTCCAAAGACTCTGACTTTCATAGCGTTTATGTCAAGATAGCAACACGTGTGAACAGTGTCATACCATTCGTTAAGATGGCTTACCCAGACATGATGGGTGGCAACAGCTCCAATACCCTTGAACCACTGAATGTTAAAGACCGTAGAGTCTGCAGGTAAGTGAAACATGTTTTGTAGCTGTGATTTTTGCAGTTCTAACAGCAATGTATAAAGATCTTCTGGGGTGTGGCTGCATATAGAACTAATTTCATGGTACAGAGTTTACGTGAAAAGTTATAGTTATTCACCAGGTTGTGAAATAGCCTCCTTTTGTATAATGAATACTTTCCTCAAACATATTTACAAAAGCCTGGCATTGAACTCTATCCTGAGCCAGTTCAATTCACTTCATCCCTTCAGACTTTATTTCTTTAAAATCAAGTGTAACAGCATCCTTCCATACATGAGAGTCTCCCAAGAGGCCTCTTCCCTTTATGTTTCCTGCCAAAATATTGCATGCATGTCACATTTCAGCCATCTGTCCTACATGTCATGCCTATCCCACCATCCTTTATTTAATAAACTCAACAATATTAGGTGGTAGGACAGATTCTTACCATTGCTGATCAAAAGATTCACATTTCTGTTTCAGAGCTAAACTTCTGGCTTGTGTAGAGCGAGGAATTGCCGAGTTTGAGGGTGCAAACAAAGAGGTGTATGACCTGGATGCTCTTATCACAGAACTTCCTGCACAAAAGCAAAGTAGCAATACAGATAGGTGAGAAATTAATTTATCTTGTAATTTTTTTTTAATTGTTTCATTTTTGGTCCATTACACTATCAATCACAAAGTCGATAGAAAGTCCGTCAAGTGTAACAATTTGTAGGTCACTGCTTTATCACTTCTGCCTTACATGTTTCGGTTTTAATACAACCATCATCAGAGGCACATAGTATAATCATGAAAACACTGTCGTTGTTTAAGATGTACACAGTTATGTTTGCTGCGTGGATGCTGCTACAATATGTCGACGTGTAAAAGCACAACACTTGCTAGGATTGTTGAATGCACTATCAATTCTCACATTCCATCCGAAACTTCCCTCAAGTTAAAAACGTCAATGTTAAAATATTTAAAAATTTAAAACATTTGATGTAAAATGTTTTAAATTTTTAAATATTTTAACGTTGACGTTTTTAACTTGAGGGAAGTTTCGGATGGAATGTGAGAATTGATAGTGCATTCAACAATCCTAGCAAGTGTTGTGCTTTTACACGTCGACATATTGTAGCAGCGTCCACGCAGCAAACATAACTGTGTACATCTTAAACAACGACAGTGTTTTCATGATTATACTATGTGCCTCTGATGATGGTTGTATTAAACCGAAACATGTAAGGCAGAAGTGATAAAGCAGTGACCTACAAATTGTTACACTGGACGGACTTTCTATCGACTTTGTTATCTTGTAATCTTTACATGATAGTTTCATGATTGTAATAAAGGAATATAAATGGTGTGCTAGAGTTCGTGTGCACTAATTCAGAGAAAAACCAGTACCCAGAAACAGCAGTGGATATCCTGAAGTGGCATCTGTGTTTCAGAATGGTGGAAAATGTGCCCTGGAAGCAAGCCTGGTCCACTCAGAAGCTTCAAAATAAGCACATTACTTGGGGATGTGACCAAGACTTAGACAGTCTTGTTAGTTGTTGGCAATTCAGTTAAACTGACACACCATTTCATTATCAGCCCCACCAGACACTATTCCCCCAATAATGAATGACGCTGTTTTCCATGCCATAGTTGGATGCTGAGTCAATCCAGTATTGGTTTGGTTTGTGCATTATGCCAAATTCATAAACATCTTCTAATGTAAACTCATTATTTAATATTACATTTATATGTGTTTATATAACCTTCATACCTTATTACAGTATTATTTCACATAATGAAACAGGATCACAGTCATCAATCTTACTCTTTATAAGTATGTCTTCAGTGTACATGTTTCTTCTGTATGTGACATTACCCAGGAACACAGCTATGAAGTAGACTGGACATATGTCTTGTTCTTGACTTTCCAGAGTTTTTTCTTTTTTGTGTGAAAGGAATTAGGATAAGGAGTGCCCCCTGCCAAGAAAATGAAAATGAAAATGTTCACAATCATGGCATCATTATTTCACTATATTCGAAACAGGGAATGTAATTTACAGTTTAGTTAGTTCTCCTCAGTTTTTAAGGAGGAAGACAGCAGTGATGGTGTGAATTATATGTTCATTAAATGTCATTGAAGTTTCCTAATGGTCACTATTCTTTTTTAATTAGGTTGCTCTTTAATTCAGACGAGGTTCATCTAGGCCAGAAAGTCACAACTAAGACTCACCTATGTTTTGAGTCACGTTTTGAAAGCGGAAACCTTCGGAAAGCCTTCCAGGTAACAGAAGTACTTCTCTATGTTTTTGATAGAAGAGTTGTCTGTTTGAACCTTCAAATTCCATAAAAGACGGGGAACTTCTTGATGAACTAATTGACTGTCAGCTTCTTAAGAAGGATTCTTCTCCATGGAATTTATTAATTTCTTTATTCTTAAAATAAAGTTTTGACTGATGGAAGTGTTAATGTTCTTAAACGTTTTGTATTTTCTTGGCAGAACAATCAAACCATGCCAAACAATGAAACAAAAAATATCTGAAGAGTATTCCAGCACAAGGAACTGAATCTTAAGTCCTCAGGGAATGGATAGGCAATTGTATTGTAACTGGGCCTGCAAAACAGTGTGTGAAAATTTCTGTACTTACGAATATCTATTTTCTTACACTGATTGACCATACTTTTTAGATACTCCAAATTTTACGTAAATTCCTTAGTTCCTTGCATGCATACTATATGTCTTTGCCAATCATATTTTCCTTTATTTAATTGCCCTAACAATATTAAATGTAGAGTACAGAACTTTGTTTTTTATTTATGTATGTTGTAGAAACTGATAAAGGGCCATGTTGTCAAAAATATCTGAAAGTCACCATGAGCTATTCTGAATATTTTTCAGCTTGCCCCTTTAGCCTGTGAATTATAGTTTCTTTGTCTCTGCCTCAGGACATTTCTCACAGATGGATGGATTGAATTTATTAGATCAAATACAATATGCAGTCTCTATAAAATTACTTTGCAATTTTAAAGCATCATTGTTTTTTTAACATTTGGTATAAAACATGAATGAATCATGAACTGGTAGAGAAGCTGAAAGTTTGCCTGTGTTGTAAGTGAAACTCAGTCTTGAGACCTATTTATTACCCTGCACATGTGCATTTGTTATCCAAATTCTTGCCATGCCAAACTGGAAACCTGTGGAATTACAGGCTCAGCTCCATCCCTGATCTGAAATGTTGATAACCTCGGCTTTGACACTCAACTACACTTATCTTACGTAGCCCCACAGGTACAAGTGACAGAGTAAAATGAGAAATTATGGTAGCCAGAATTTCAGAACTTCTATTCTAATTCATTGCAGTGGAAAATGTTCATGTAAACTATCATGAAAAACCTTTACACCTGTTTGAAACTTCACATGTCATCACAAATTGAAGACTTCATTATCTGCTCTTGATGCTAATTCTGTGTACAGGTATTGTTTGCAGAGGTCTGAATGAACATCCTGTTCATCAGATGATTGAAGAAGATATCTAAACTTTGGCCACCTTGTTCTCTAGATCTTTTTCTACTATTTGTTTATTTGTAACACTACATAAAACAAGTTGGACCAAATGTAAAAGTCAAGAACATGGACCATTTAAAGTGAAGAATTATTTTCTGTTGAGAATCTAATGCCAGCTGTTGTCATTGAGGTGTGGCAGTAATCATTATATGAATGAAATATGCATAGAGCAGTAACTGAACCTTGCATTGATTTTTCTGATGATTGTAAGGTTGGTGAACATTCATTGTTACTCTTTATTTAACCTTTCATTCATGTTCCTAGCATTAACTGTTACATTATAGGTAGGCTTTAGAACTGCACTGTAACTGAGACACAGTGTATTGTCTGGTGTATCCTTCAGTGCTTGAGTCACCACACACCAGTATAATGTTATTCTTTAATGCATATTTCAGATTTCTTCTAAAGAGTATGACCTGATCCTCATGCCAGATGTCAACTCCACTCGCCATCATCAGTGGTTTTATTTTGAAGTTAGCAACATGGAAGCTAATGTTCCGTATGTCTTCAATATTGTCAACTGTGAGAAGCAGAATAGCCAATTCAACTATGGTACTACATATTATCCTTATATAAACTGAGTAGTTGTTGTGTAGAAAGTTTCTCCAAATTGTGTGTGACAATATGGTGTATATATACGAGTATGTTAACTAGAAAATACATAAAGAAAGCAGTCTTCTGGGATTTGGCACCGTGTATATGTGGTGTTAACCGACGTTTCGGATGAACGTATCGCCTCCATCTTCAGGGTAGAAGAAAAAATATAAGAATTCTGCAAGCGGAGAGACCGTGAGAACCGGTAAAAGCAGCTGCTTTTACCGGTTCTCACGGTCTCTCCGCTTGCAGAATTCTTATATTTTTTCTTCTACCCTGAAGATGGAGGCGATACGTTCATCCGAAACGTCGGTTAACACCACATATACACGGTGCCAAATCCCAGAAGACTGCTTTCTTCATAGTCACCGCCGTGAAAGCCTCAAATCTTACGTAGAAAATACATAATTTGATTGTGAGAAAATTATTGTACTTTGTCCGCATAATGACAAAATTATATTAATCATATAATAACATGATATGTATAACTTAGAAAATCATGTAGGTTACTCGAGGAATGTTGTGAACTGATCTTTTTGATAGAGCCTGATGTACCATCTGAAATAATTTTTTACCATTTTGTATGTTACAAACCAACAAATAAGAGTGAAAGAAATTTATATTGCATCATGCATTAATACCTTTGAAATTGTGTTCTTCTGCACATAGGTATGAAACCAATCATGTATTCTGTCCGTGAGGCTATTTTGGGGCGTCCAGGATGGGTTCGTGTGGGTACTGACATCTGCTACTACCGGAACTGCTATCAGAACCCATCATCACGCAAACCACGTTCATACCTTACAACAACATTCAAAATTACTTTCCCACATTCATATGATGTCTGCTACATTGCGTATCACTATCCATACACATATTCACAGCTGCTGGTATGTACAAGTAGACATATTTGTAAAATTCGTATATTTGCATTAATTTATTTCAGTGCAGATCTCTTCATAATGATTTTAACAGTTGTTCATATCGCAGTAAGTTACCACACTTCTTGATAAAAACTAACTCCTTGCTGCAGGGTGTTCTTCAAAAGCTGATAGTTACCTGACCACTCAAGAAATTCCCTGATTTAAGGAAACCAAAAATACATTATTGTTTATGAAAGCCAACAATTTTATATTACCACAAGCTTCTTTAATCCAGTTTGTAGCTTCATACCTTATAATATCTATTTTAATGTTATCTCCCATCTCCACCTAGATCTCCCAAGTTGATTCTAGCTATGTCGATGCCTTTTTTTTTTTTCAATGGCCCTGTCAGTAACTGAGATTAGGTAGACTAAAATTATTGGCTGATAGCAAACAATCAGTTGGAAAGGATGTGAAAGGAAATGGGCATGACCTGATTTAGAGTATTATCTCGGTATTTACCTGAGGGACAGAAAATTCAGAAGAAACCTCAATCAGCATAGTCAGTGTTCCAGCAAAAATTGAATCTGAGCACATCCCAAATACAAAATTTAATGTGTATTTCTTTTTCCCCCTCTACATAAGACAGTAATAAAGATATTAGTTGATTAGTTGCAGAAATAGGCATGTCAGTGCAGACATCAGAAGATGTAACTCAGTGTGTACATTTTTTACGTTACACAAAGTGCATTTTTGGGATGGTAAATATTTTATGAAATAGAAAAAAAATTCTGGTTCTGGTGTTTGATATGTGTAGTGATTAGATTTATGTTTGCAAGAAATGAATGTTGTGGACAGTAAGGTATGCACACCAGAAATAGCACATTTGAATGATATATGTTTTCCGTGGCATATTCCGTTCCACTTTGTAGTATATATGCACATTCGTCAGAGACTGACTTGAAACAGAAAAGTGTTTATGAATATAATGAATTGTCGCTCACTGTAGTGGAAAAGTGTATATAACTAAAATTGTTGAAGAAGTGGATTAATTTAGAGATTTAAAGATTAGTATGAGTCAGGATAACTCAGTCTGGCAGTGACTGGCAATGAACTGGATGTCTGGGGCTCTATTCCCTTTTGGGAATAGAAATTGTTCTTTCCACCATCTTGTCCAGACTGGTTGCTGAGTCTGTTTACCCTCCTATCAAGTGGGTACCAGGGACTCTAGCTGAGGGTGAAATGGCCAGAGTGTCTGTTTCATCTTGTGCTGAAGTTAAGAATACTTCAACTCCAGCTATCCGTACATCTTCATTGTGTGATACATAAGCACAGGGGCAACTGTGTATTTCAGGTTGCAGTTAGTTTGAGTGGGTAATATCTGGATGAATGAAATAATTTAAATGCCCTAAAAATTTCTTCTTACTCTTTATATTTGGTTTCAGGCTCACATATGGAAATGGTCTCAAACTGTGGATCCTGCTTCCATTTATTTCCGTGCAGAATCTGTTTGCTTGTCTTTGAACAAAAATGAAACTCCACTGATCACTATTACGGCACCGGAATCAGATACCAATCCAATTGTGGTAAATACATCAAATTAGCATTTTTAATTTTATTCATTATCTTTCCAACATGAAACTGTAATACTGCTACTCCAAGAGTAGAAAAGTGTGAGAGTAGTGTAGACATCATGTTAGATTCAAGCCATCAAGAAGCCTTGTCTTCCTCTTTATCAGTGTCTTTTTTTGTTATTTTTCTCCTTGTCCCTATCCTTTTATTCCTTGGTAAATAATTAAAGAGTCTACTGTATAGAGGTATGCATATGATGTGTTAACTTGGCTCTGTGCTAGATAAATATGTTTGGATGTCATGAACTCTCTTACTTTATCAAAACTCTACAGTGCAACTTGACACAGGCTGAATTTTATTCATGGAAAGCTTCTGCAATTTGTAGTCACTAAAATAATGAAACATTCTTGTAATAGAATCCAGGAGACTTGAACATTTCTTTCTTCCAGACAGATTTGCATTTAACACAAGAATCTGTTTACAAATAAAAAACAATTGCACAATACAGCATCATGTGTTTAAGTTCTAAATCATAAGTCAGAAATACATGGTAGTTATATGTGTGCACATGTGCATGTTATGTTGTTGCTGAGGTGTACATATTTTTGGTTTTATTTTTTATTGTTACTCTGGCCAAGAAAGCACTGTAGATTCTAAAGGGTTATGGTGATAGTGTGTAACACTCAGAATTACTGGGTTTTTGGACTTTGTCCATTGTCTAGTATATTGAGGTTAGCTCTTTCTAAGGGACCCAACAGAGTATGTTTCTCTCCCCTCACCTGAGGATGGAAACAGATACAGTTTCCAAAACGTTTTATTTTTTAGTTTTTATAATGCCAGACAGTGAGCAAAGTCCAAAGACCCAGTAATTCTAAATCCATGAAAGTGTTTGGCACTTATTTTGTCAGTGGTTGAGCTAAATACTTTCTCACTTGGGATGAGAATGATCCCTGTCAGATAAATTTTAGGGTGAATAAATTTATGAGTATGTCAGTGGAAAACAATAAATATTCAGATGTTTTCTGTGTCCAGTATGGAACAAATATATGAGTATATTGATGAAAAACAATAAATATTCAGGCATGGCCTGTTATAGGGATACCTTTACTTACTTACTCTACTTATGTACAGATATCTTTCTGTGGCTTCATATATGATCATGTTTATATGTTTTGTTCTGGAATAACTAGAAAGTTTTCAGTATTAGTCTTTTTTCTTCCAGATGAGGGAAATTATTTTCCTCACTGCTCGAGTGCACCCAGGTGAGAGCAACTCCTCGTGGGTGATGCATGGAACACTTGAGAAACTGCTAAGCAGTTCTTCAGCAGCTGTTAGTCTGCGCAGTAAGTTTGTGTTCAAGATAGTCCCAATGCTCAACATGGAGGGAGTTATAAATGGCTGGTAAGTGCTGTGAATTACTACTAACTTCTCATTTTATAAATGAGATTCTTTATTTGAAAGTTGTTCATTAAATGAAAATTCCTTTCCCATTAATTTAAAGATAGTAATTAGACATTAATCTGAGGTGATACATATACAAGGTGTTTCACAATTGGCCTGCCATAAATCAGGATGTTTTTAAAGAGGTAATGTTGAGTAAAAGACATCAATACAACCTCAGTCATATTTGCAACCATTGAGGAGTTTCGTATGTTTTAAGATATGCAAACCTTAAATGCCTAGTTCTTTGAAATTTGGTATATAGCAGTTCTGGTGAATTTCAGTTAAATTGTAGCCACTACTTCCTGATTTTTGTTATCAAGTTATGGCTTACTTGAGTCAGCGTTATGGGAACTGGTGAATTGGCAATGTTCGTCCAATATCTTGGCCACCAAGATCATCAGACCAAACTCCACTTGATTGTACACCTTATTTCTTTTTATGGGGTCTAATGAAAGAGATGATCTATAAAACCATAACACATATGAGAGCTGACCTCTTGCATTGAGTTATGAATGCCACTGCTTAGTTATGAGAACAACCTGAAATCAAGAAATTTTTATTTGAACCAAACAGGGCTGTATGTTGAAAACCGTGGTTGGCCTTTTGAACAGTTAACATGGTGTATCTCATAAATTAATCTGAGTATTATGCTTGTGTATGTTATCCAAGAAATATGCAGCTACACTCGGGCAGGACTGTTGCCCTCGGCACAGCTTTTTACCATAAACTCAGGAAGAAAGAGAAATGCATGTGTTAATCTTCCCCAGTGCGCATGGGTACAGAAACATGCAGAACCATGAGATGAGGCAATATGTTTTAGTATGGTGGACATTTAGTGTTCTGTAGTGTTGGTTTTCTTCATCTTTGGTATGTACAATCTACTTTCCCTATGTTGTAAGGCAACATAGGCTTGATGTCATTGATGTGGATGCATAGATTACTATGTAGGCATGCACATCCATGTGTGTCTGTGTCTGTCTGTATCCATCTCTCCATAAAATTTAACCAGATAACATATTTAAGCACCTTTGGATGAACAGCACCTCATTCAAAGCCATATGACCTTTGTAGTTTTCATTTCCCTGTCAGCAAAAATTTTGTTATTGTCAAGCATATGAATTTCTGAGGTGGAAATGACACCGTTTTAACTGATCTAAGGACCTAAAATTCTGTCAGTAGATCTTTGAAACGCATTTAAGGTAACTTTGTTTAGAATGTGAAGTCACAACATTATGACCATGTATGCATTTACCAAGTTTCAATATGATGACAGTAATTTGTGACCAGCTATTGGCATCTTGATAGATCATAAACATACATACAGATTCTGTGTGAAACTATTTTTTAAGTTTCTGAAGGGTTCTGATAAGTGTAAATCACTCAGGATTACTGATTTTTGGCTTTGTCCATCACCTAGTATTCTAAAGAACACCAAAGAACTGGACTGGTGATTGAGGTTATCTCTTTGAGAGACCCAACAGAACAGATGTCTCCCACATTCTCACCTAAGAATGGAATAAGATCCAGTTTTTGAAATGTCGTGTCTTTTAGTGTTATTTAAAATATTGAATGATGGACGAAGTCCAAAATTCCAGTAATCCTGACTTTATTTTTTGTACTGAAATTACAAATATTTTAAAAGGAAAACCTTTAAATTATATCTGGCAGCTTTTAGGTAGTGGGTATATGTATGTATAAGTTACTAGTTGAAGCTTTCACAGAAATAGATTAATAATTTATAATTTCTGTAAGCCTCTCTATACAGCTGGAGTATTTAAAGGAAAATCAGCCCATAAGTACTCCCTGCAACTTTTTAAGTTTTTGAAGTACCTGTGGGGCACTCGTGTCAACGTGTGTAGTCTTGTCATTACTCCGATGACAACCCACTTCTTCGGAACAATTTGTTGGCCCTGAAAAGGACCGTGGTTGCTGTTGCTGCTTGACCGGTGAGGTAGCGCGGCGCGCGCCGGTAAGGAGAAAGGCTAGTTGCGGTGAGTGGAGTGGCCGCAGTGCGACCGTGGCAGCTGGTTGCTTGGTTGCCGTGCGGCAAGTGATGGAGGTTGCTCGATCGCAGTGCGGCGGTTGCTGGTGAAGGCTAGTCGTCGAGCGCGGTCGTAGTAGCCATGAGGCAGTGGCTACGCCAGAGGCCCAGTGGGTCGGACCGTAACACGACCACCGGCGAGTCCAGGCGCGGTGCCCCAGTGAGTCGGGTGTGAGAGCGCTGGAGGGCCGAGGCAGTCGTGCCTGGCGCAGCCTGCCGATGTCTCCGAAGACCGAGCGCTGGCGACGAAGCCTGCTGGCTGAAGTTGCTTGATGTGGCTAGCTTGTAGACTGGTGATGTACTGACTTGAACTGAATAACTCTGCTCTTTTATACACTGGTCGGTGGGGCGGAGCCAAACTCGAAAGTGAGGAGCAAGAATTGATTGGCTAGCGCGCGTAATGGTGTAGACGCGGGCTATCGCCGAGCGTAGTATAAATGCGATCGTTTGAAGCAATCTGATTGGTTAGCGCGCGTGATGGTGAAAAGTGATGTGAAGAGCGAGCGTTGCAGAAATGCGTGATAATGTGGGATGTTCCCACATACCTTTATTAGGGTATATCTTATGGAAGAAACTAGGTGTATTCCTAGATACAGTAATACAAAGACTACAAGCAAAATGAAATATGTCAGCAGAGAATATTCACGGAATGTTTTGGCAATGAATCAGTTATGAATGTTGTAACTGCTGACATTGTGACACATGTAAGTCACCAGTTTGGATTACAACAAACACTACCAACTCATCAGCATTTGAAAGAAATTGAGATTAAACATCTTATATTAACCCTGGAGATGAATTCTTAATAAATGCACCATAAAAGTTTCTGTATAATAATTTCTTCTATGACTTTATCTTATATGAATAATGACTTCACTTTTTGATTGCTTTTGTAAATGTCTGAAACGTCACACATTGTAATATTGGTATACTTGAGTGAAATTGTGAAATTTTTCAGTCACATCACACTAGCCTCCCAACCACCAGCAAGAAAAGGAGACATTTAAAAAAATTTGATAATTTTCAGTGTTCTAATATTGTAAGTTTACTTTAGAATGATTTAACTCTTTCACTGCCAGTAAACTAACTGCATTAGTTTGGAAGGTTCTGTCAGGCTTGTCATAGTTCAGTCTAGCTGCTATGTAAAAGCAGTTTTCTATTGGATGTAATCAATATGAATGTACATGTATAAGAAAAGAGACAGCATTGTTCAAAATATTTTATTATCAACTCTTGTACTTTATATAGTACTCATGCATGTTAAGAGATGACACTGCCATGCCAAGTAAAGTATTTGAATTTCAACATTTCCTCCTTGATCTTAGACTCTGAGGTCTGTGTGCCTTGAAGCTTATACTCACTTGTTATTTTACCATATTTACGCATGTATAGGCCGCACATTTTTTGCCAAAAATTCAAGAGGAAAACTGGGGAGCGGCTTATATTCGAAATATTCGAAATCACACTTCATTTAAAAAAATTAAACATTGCCAAATTTCGGAATAATTTCTACTCCTGAAATAATATTCCAAGAAAATTATTTTTTCTATAATTTCTGTCTGAAAATTGTGCTGTGGCCTATACACGTACGCAGCCTATACATGCATAAATACGGTATATGGAATTGGCATCACTTCTTTTGTTGGTTGTACTTATGGTCCATTGCAGTAAATACTATTTAATTTTTAAGAAATAGTCTACCAATTATTGTTCAGCCTAAGCACATGGCTTCTCAGTAAGATGTAGGTAATTGGTGCAAAAATATAACTAAAACTAACAGAAGCTTCAACCTCACCATATTTATCTGTCTAGTGCTTTATTTTTGATGTGGTTATGTCAGTCACTGTTGACAGATCATCATCTTCATACAGACTTCCAGCATTAGAATTGTCATTTGCTTTCTTTGTTATGATTTCCTCATTTGAGACTTGATCACTCTTGAAACCAGCATTCATATTGACAAAGGCAATAGCTTGCTGATCACTGCTTGCGCCAATTGCTGTTACATATACCACGTTGTCAGTGTCTCTGTCAGGTGCGGCTCTGGCTGCTGGGCTCTCTCCAAGTGGCAGGTCAGCAGCAGAAGTTGGTGTTGAAGTCTGGTGTAGAGACTGGACATCACGTGCAACGGGTCTTAATGTTATACGACGGTTGATTGTGAAATTCAAGAGTGGCCCCAAAGGGGTATTACTGTTGTCTAAAATTGGTACAGGAGTTATGATTGTGGAATCTGTTTCTCCTGCTGTTGTTGTTGCTGTTGTTTTTGCCGTTGTTGTCGTTTTTGTTGGTTTGTAGGCCCTGCTGTTTCTGTAAAATAATTTTATTTTTAGTATATTTTTTATCTTCATACCCTTCGCATATTTAAACAATGGGACTGTAATGGGTAATTTAAAAGATTGTGAATTAATCTTCACAATGCTAAGCCCAATTTTTGTATGAACATGTCTTGAAATCAAATTCAGCAAGAAAATAATAATATAACAACAGTATGTGACAAATCATATGAGTGTCTGTGAACAGCACAAACAAATATAAAGGAAATTTGTGGTTAAGTGAGAACAATACATTTTGGAAATTCTTGTTACTATTCAGTTAAAAAATGTTATAATTTTATCTACTTTCCATATGATAAAGAGATCAGGTTATACAGACAGAAATTTTCTGAGTTGTTTTACATGTACAAGTGAAACATGGTCCCTTACTTTGAGGGATGAACATAAATTTCAAGTGTTTGAAAGCTCATTGCTCAGAAAAATATTTGGATTTCAGATGGATGAAGTAATTGAACAGTTTAGGATTTATGCACATTAGCTAGAGTTATTACAATCATTACATCTGAAAGATTACAGTGGGATAGAATGAAAGAAGCAGAGAATGCATACAAAATTTTGTCAGAAAAGTTTTGGATAACATCCACTTGAAAGACTGAGAAGGATATGATATGGTAACATTAAAATGAATCCTGGGAGATAGATTCTAGGATGGGAGTTACGTGGAACCGGCTTACTAATAGAGAGCTGTGGTATTAATGGTGTTGAACCATATACAACTTTTTTATTAAAACCGTCACAACACAACTATATCAAAGTCAGTCCCTAGTTTTGTCTCTGCTACATGTTTCGGCTATTCAAAGCCATGATCAGGCAAATACATGGCCAACATATATACAACCACTGAACTGCAGTACTAATAAAATTGGATACAATAATATTAATTATATTAAAATACTTCACGTAAAAATGCAATAAATTAGATTATAAAGTAAAAGTAAAAAGTAAAGCTATCCCTGTACCAGGCCATGAAGGCCCATAGAGTTGTGAGACATTGAGGGTCCCACATTATCTAGACAATCGGCTCAAAGATGGCGGTAATAAAACAAAAGTTATAGTATAAAATAAGAATAAAATTCTTTGATTGATGATTTATATCATCGAGTCAGTCGTTGGTTTTTGTGATTTTGTTGCGTTCCCACGGACAAATTGGAGTATTCTATATTTTGTGTATATATTGTCACGTGTTGGGTGTATAACACGACAGATAACTTTATGCTGTATTGGATATAGCGAATTTATTGAACACTTGCTCTCACAATTACTCAATTTACAATCTCACAATTACTGTCATTGGCAGTATCACAAATACTTCTTCTGCTGTAGACACTGCCATTCACTTGATACAACTCGACTCGGCGACTGCTAGATTGAAAATGACTGGTTAACCATTACTCATGAGTAATTCACTCAACTGGCTCAATCCTCACTCACCCATAACTGGCTCAATCCTCACTACTGAGTAGTGTCCACAGCTCCATATTTAGCCTCGGCACGGACAACACAGAAAACAGTTACATGATAGGTACCGCTATTGCGTGATGCCGTGTTTACAGGTTGCATAGCAACACTGTCGAGAGTTGTTTACTGCTGTGTAATAACCGCGGTATCCCTTGTTACGTCACTGTGGCAAAGGTTGCCTGACACAGTTGCTCCTGTTACGCCACCGCGGGGAGGGGGTGTTTACAGAGCGCTGCGCACCGATGGAAAGAGTGGGGATATGTGACGTCACTCGCGAGACTGCAGATCCCACGGGACCCCCACTTCCCTCTGCGCCATCCACGTCACAATATAATAAACTGTTATTGGAATCTCATGATGTAGTTAGCGGCCTCTGTAGTCTAGAGGTAACGTTCCCACCTCATGACTCATAGTACGCGGGTTCAAATACCCGGCGGAGGTCGTCGAATTTTTAAGGGCGGAAAAATTCAGGGAACAAGTCCTCCGGGAGGGACTTTAAGCCGTGGGTCCCATGTCGTAGCTTTACGGCACGTAAAAGAACCTCATACCTCCAAAGGAGGTCACTGAGCAAAATTGCGGATGTTTGCCGCCCAACAGCAGTCACTAATACCTCCGGTAGATGGGGGAAGCATTATAGATACTTCTCAGCCCGTAAAGCCGGTCTCGCTGGCTGGGCGGGAATGATGGTAAGCACCAATACCGGCAGGATATAGAGGCTGGTAGAAATCATAGAGGGAAGCACAATGGACCACTACAGGTCTAAGTGCATGGGAAAACCCACCCTCTCTAATAACTAACTAACTCATGATGTAGTCGGTGCAACATCTTACAAAGTATTGTCCATTCTATAGGGAATGTAAACAACGACGTCGTTGTTCTCACCTGCTTACCCCTGAGATGTGGATACTGGAATAGAGCCGTAGTTGTAATAATAGCATCTCGTTTGCTCACAGATGAAGTCCTTATTTTCTTCACAGTCATCTGTATCCCACTCCAAGTCTGGTGCCTTGAGTGCCACACATCCATTCTTCAGGCCGTCATCTCGACTAAATGAACAAAAAAGATTCACTTTGAATTATTACTTTGTAATTGAAATAACTTATTTGGTGCCTAGTATTAGTATTAGTATTAGAGGGGGTGGGTTTCCCCATGCACCACGACTAGTAGTCTATTGTACGTCCCCCTTTAATTTCTACTGTCGCCATACCCTACTGGTACTGGTGCTTGCTATCAGCCCTGCTCAGCCAGTGAGTTCAGCCCCTCTACTGGAAAATGGTACCTGATACTTCCCCCCATCTACCGGAAGCATTCGAAACTACTTGGGCGGGAAACTTTTTACCTAATTTTGCTCAGAGGTCTCCTAGAGACATGAATTTTTCCGCCCTTAAAAATTGCATGAACTCCACCAGCTTTGAACCGCATACCTTGAGTCATGAGGTGGGAACATTACCCCTAGACTACGGAGGCCGCTTTATTTGGTGCCTAAGTTCAATAGTTGTTTGTGTAGTCTGCATAAAGTACGCAAAATTAACTCCTAATGGAAAGATCATATTTCTATGCCCACATGTTCCTCCTGCAAAATTACATAACTGATTTCAGTAAGTTTCATATTGGAGGTCTGTATTAAAGGTGCTGGCTGTGTACTGTTTTGGTTCATATTAGTTATATTATAATCCATATTGTATGTGCTTCTGAAAGCCAACTTTATCAGATTTCCCAGTAATGGCTCATCATACAACACATATATAGACCTAATTAAGAGCTACTAATTTTAATTGAAATATTTTCAGTGTATTAAATAGATTATAAAGTGAATGAGCACTAAGTTTTAGCCTTTTGCGTTCCAATATCTCTAATGCAGTGACTTCTACAACAAGAGATTTTATTTGCAGTAAATGAATATTAAAGTCAGTGAGGTGTACAAAATAGTAAAGAATGCATTTCCACTGGACTGGGTCCTCTAACAGCTGTTCTTGCTAAACAGCTTAAGCAGCAAGTATATTATGGCCAACTAAACAACCTTTGTTGTTCCATATAAACATTTCGAACCTACAAAACGCACGTTAAGTGGCCGCTATCGACTGTTGTGTGACGTCACCACCCAAGCCGTTGCCTAGAAATGCGTTGCATAACCCCGTTTTTCCACTGTTGCGTGTGTGTATTACTTAGCAGCGGGTGTTTCTGTGGCTCAACCGTACTTGGATGGAGCAAATATGCCACAGTATATTGAAGCAAGTGGTACATGTAGTGACCACTGACGTTTAAAGGATCGAGACCGAAGACTATCGCAACAATCAAGGGCGGTGATGAATGAATGTATGGTATGTCAACGAAATCATGACGATATCTTAATAGATTATTAAAATTATTAATTCCACAAATTAATTCAGTGTTCTATTGTTGCATTGTTAATCCATAAATATGTCTTTAGCTAGGAAAAATTAATGGTCAAGTTTGTGTGAAAATCATTGTGCTGAAGAAGCAACCCCCTCTCCCCTGAAGATGTCTAGGAGTACACGAAGCAAGTTGAATTACGTAAAATACTGCAAAAGTTGTGTTTGGCGATGTATTATGTATTTAGTAATTGACTTTGGCTGATCTACTGGGACTTCTTTTTAAAAAGTTATAATTTTCACTTGCTGAAAACAACATAAAATCGAAGAAAATCGCCAGTTATAAAATATGTCATTTTTTCTGTAGTAGACTGTACATGACATATAATTGGAATTTCCGGATTAGCTGAAATTAAGTGGCAGATCACCATTTCCTGGAACACTGATTTTTTCAGATCCAGTCCTCTGAGTCTGACACGTGAAAATAACTTTCCAGTCCAATGTCCATTCAAATTAAAGCGAAATTAATACAAGAAGCCTATGAGTGAGTTAGGAAGGAAGTATTGTACAGCATTCTCATAGAGTTTGGAGTATCCATGAAACTAGGTATGGCGATTAGAATCTTGTTAAATGAAACATATAGTAAAGTCCGTACAGGTAAACGTTGGTCTGATATGGCTACTATACAAAATTGTCTAAAACAAGGAGTTGCTTTATCGCCATTGCTCTTCAAATTTGCTTTATAATATGCTAGTAGGTAGGTCCAAGGAAACAAGGTGGGACTGAAATGAAGTGGAGCACATATGCTGCTGGCCTGTGCTGATGATGTGAATCTACTGGTCGATAACATAGATACCAGGGAGAAAAAAACAGAAACTCTAATTGACGCTAGTAGGGAGGTTGGTCGGCCGTGCCATAGCTCAAGCGGTTAGTCGCTGGCTTCCCACCGCGGCGGCCCGGGTTCGATCCCAGGTCTGGTCAAGTGGGATTTATGGTGGACAAAGTGGCGCTGGGCAGGTTTTCTCCGAGTACTTCGGTTTCCCCTGCCAATCTCCATTCCACCAGTTGCTCCACAATCACCCTCACCTATCATCTGGGGCTGGTACAATAGCCCAGAAGTGGCAGCAGTATAAGGCACGTAGTCCCACCCCACTAGCAATAAAAAAAGAGAGGTTGGTCTAGATGTAAACGCAGGGCACTCATATACTCGTATGTTTCTGCCTCGTCGCAAAATGATGGAAGAAGTCATGACATCAAGTTAGCTAACAGATCCTTTGAAAATGTGGCACAGGTGAAATATTTGGAAACCACTGTAACAAATACAATTTGATTCAGTAGGAAATTAAGAGGAGATTGAGTTCTGGCAATGCTTGCAAGCATTCGGTCCAGAAACTTTTGTATTTTCGTCTGTTGTCTAAAAACGTACACATTTGAATATACGAAGCTATAATTTTGCCTGTGGTTGTGTATGGGTGTGGAACTTGGTCTATGGCCTTAATAAGGAACATAGTGTGAAGGTGTTCAAGAACAATATGCTGGGGAGAATATTTTGACCGAAGAGGGATGAAGTGGTAGGAGGTTGGAGAAAACTTCATAATGAAGAACTTCGTAACTTGTACTCTTCGCCAGGTATAATTAGAATGATTAAGGCAATGATATGGACAGGACATGTAGCACGCACGGGAAGAAAATCAATGTATATATGATTCTGGTGTGAAGGCCGGAAGGATAGAGACCACTAGGAAGGCCTATATGTAGGTGGGAGGATAATATTAAAATAAATTTTAGAAAGATGGGATAGGGCGGTATGAACTGGATTCATCTAGCTCAGGATAAGGACAAGTGGAGGGCTCTTGTGAACACGGTAATAAACCGTCGGGTTCCACGAAAGTGTTTGAGAACAGGGTGTTGAAGATAATATTTTTACGGAAGAGAGATTAAGTGACGGGAGGTTGGAGAAAACTGCATAATGAGGAGCTTCTTAAATAGTAATCTTCGCCAAGTATAATTAGAATGACCAAGTCAAGGAAGATGAGATGGGAAAGTCATGTAGCGCGAATGGGGAGACGAGGAATGCATGTAGGATATTGATGGGCAAGCCAGAAGGAAAGAGACCACTGGGAAGACCAAAACGTAGGTGGGTGGACAATATTAAAATGAATCTTTGAGAGATAGGATGGGATTGATCTCGCTCAGGATAAGGACCATTGGAGGGCTCTTGAACACGGTGATGAACCTTCGGGTTCCATGAAATGCTCGGAAGTTCATGAGTAGCTGCACAATTGGCAGCTTCTCAGGGTCTCAGCTCCAAAAGTGAGTGAGTATTTACATATGTTCTACACAGCTTAGATGAATCTCGTTCAAATCGCCAGAACCATTTACTTTATATTTTTTGCGCCACTCTGTGTATACCGGAATGAGCTAAGCTTTGCATCTGTGTTTGTAGTCGAGGTGGCAGATGGGCATGTGTTACTGCGGTCTTACCCTTGTCTATGGCGAGCCCGTCTAGCAGAGACAGGTTTTATAGACGAGCTGGGGCCAGTCTCTGTAGAGTCTTCACCTGTAGAGCCACTGGTGCTGGTGTCTAGGTCGTTGCTAGGCACTTTCCTCATGTAATCGAATGTAGCGTTGAAAGTAAGACCGGAGCTCATCCAGATGAGCATGTCTGTGCCTAGTCGGTTCCCTGACGTCCAATAGTCGTGACCGTTGTAACCTTGAACACAAGACACACCTGTAACTACACTTCTTGGAACAAGTGCAAGTATGAGAAGCTTGTACATTTAAAGATGTCTGAACTAATGGGGCGTGCAGAATAGATTATGTCCCCACTGTAGATGATTCATCGCTGTCTGCTTGTCACAGAACAATACATGTAGTTCCAGAAAGTGTGGATGTTAGCATTACTTGATATTCTCTTTTACCTTTTAAAACCGTAAAGGAAAAGAATTACAAAAGTTTTCGTTTTATTCGTTGTTCTATATGGCTGTGATACCTGGTCTCTCGCTTTAAGAACAGAACACAGACTAAGGAGATTCAAGAAGAGAGGAGAATATTTGTGCCTAAGACAAATGTAGGCCGGTCACGGTAGCCGAGCGGTCTAAGGCATGTACTGTCTTCGCTCGCTTGGAAACCGGGATCGTGGGTTCGAATCCCACTCAGGGCATGGATGTTTAGTTTGTGTGTGTGTGCGTTTTTCTGTGTTTGTGTACAGGTAGAGGCCTTGCGACGAGCTGATCACCCGCCCAAGGAGTCCTACCGAATGTATAAGATCTAGAAAAACCGAAGTGAAACGGAGAAGTTCATGGAGGTAGGCCTAGGCCCACTGGGGCTGTAGTGCCAAGGGGAAAAAAAAAGAGAGATATGTAGTGACATGAAAACCGAACTGCTTATGTAATGAGAAACTCTGTAAGTCAGACTCTTAACCAAGTATTAACCCAATCAAATCAAAGAGAATAGGATGAGGAGGACATAATAGCAAACAGGTGAGAGATATGAAATTTGTATAGTTTATTAGCAAAATCTGAAGGGACCACTTGCGAGACCTGAGCATCGATAAGAGGGTATACTGAAATGAGCTTCGTGAAGTAAGGTTGGAAGGTGTAAATCGGTTTTAACTGTCTCAGGCTAAAACAAGGGTAAAACTCCCTCTAACAGGCCGTGGAGGCCCATAGGGCTGTGAGAGATTGAGACTTCCACATTATCTAGACAATCGGCTCACAGATGGTGGTGAGGTTGTCAGCCTTACGCACTGGCCGCCCATTATCCACAGGAAGATTCCTGATACTCATTTCTGTTGGAGGCTGAATCGACCCCAGGGCCATATTGAGGCCGGAGCTATTAGGTAAATTGAAAAATCCAGTGTCCTCATCGGGACTCGAACCCGAGACCTTCCGGTTTGTAGCATAGTTCCTCAACCGACTACGCTACCGCGTGCCCCAAACTGTCTCAGGGTATCTATCGGCAATGAAATGTATATTTTTGGCAGTAGACATATTTGTAAGGAACGTATTAATACGTGTGTGTTTAGTATAGTCTTGACGGAGTTATGGGCTGCCAAAAGAGTTCTACAGGCGAAATCAAGATTGCGCGTCCGTTATTATGACGGATGATCTGACAGCTTCTGTGGTCTAGTGGTCAGAGTTCCTGGCTACAGATCCAGAGGTTCAGGATTTGATTTCCGGAACTCTCATATTTTCTGAGAAGTAGTGCATCTGGAACGGGGTCCACTCAGCCGCTTGAGGACAATTGAAGAGCTATTTCAAGGACATAGCGGCTCCGGTCTAGAAAACAGAGATTAACGGCCGTGGGGATCCGTTGCACTGATCACGTGACACCATCTATGCGCAAAAGTTGTCACTAACTTCGCCGACAAGCGGCGGTCGCTCGGTCGGTATAGTTCGCTTTCGGTTTACAGTCCACGGAGTTCGTTTTGTTTCTTTTGATCGGAGAGTAAGGTTGCAAGACATCGCTTACAGTATTGATCACGAAGGTATTTGCTGAATGTTTGACTTGGGTCATTGCACGACTCGTAAACTACTGTACGTCCCGTGATGGCTGTAGCGCTTCTCATGTCGCAGGATGGGTGTCTGAAGGCACCAGGGTCCTACCCTTTCAACCGTGGTTTTACTGCTGTTTCCACATCGTAGTGAGTTTGATACTCAGATATCTGCTCCAGCGCTGCAAACAAGTGAAAGTCTGAAAGACCAAACCTAAAACTAATGGCGAAGACGGAACCTGACCAAGGTTAAGATTATGTCCGAGTAGGTCGTTACCTCACCCTCGTCCGTACGCATTCTTTCGTGGCCAAACACGAAATTAAAATTTTATGTACACATAGTATTTAATTTAGTTTTTTAGTTTCTTGGGGTGGGGTGAGACTGAGTCCGCTTGATATGTCGGCCACTAATTGGCCTGTTGTACCAGCCCCGAATGATAGATGATGATGAGTTGTTTGGAGCAGTTGGTGGAATGAGAATTGGCAGGAGAAACCAAAGTACTCGGAGAAAACCTACCCCAGTGCCACTTTGTCCACCACAAATCCCACGTGACCTGGGCTGTAACCCGGGCCGCCGCGGTGGGAAGCCGGCGGCAATTAACCGCCTGAGCTATAGCACGGCCTGTACACGTAGTACATTAAACATGACATGACGTGAACGGCCAATTTCGGATGTTTACACTCTGATGTAGAATTTTGACATAAAACCATATGCACAACACACGTAGTGTACTTACCTGCATTAAGGAGGTACTGTGTCATGGAGTCCGCTTTCTCTTTGGATTCGAAAGAAGACAGTTGAAGTCCAATGGAACGACAGTATTGGTAGGCCAAGAAGTAGTTGAGCTCAGGCGAATAGGGGTTCATGCGGCTTATGAAGTACTGAACTCCATCCAGTTGAATGGTAGTGATGCGCTGACCTGTGACATACCTTCAGGTAAATACATGCTTATAAACCAATTCCATGGGGTCCATCTTGAGAAGCCGCCAGTTACGTGGCCACTCAAGAATTCCCCCAAATTTTATGGAACCGAATTTTCATTACCTCCACTGGTCCCTATCCGGAGCCAGATCAGTCCAGTCCATACCACAGCATCTTATCTCTCTAAGATAATATTATCCTCCTACCTACGTCTAGGTCTTCCTAGTGGTCTCTTTCCTCCTTTTCCCACCAAAATCCCATATGGAGCACACTTTTCCCCATGAGTGCTACATACCCTTCTCATCTAATTCTACTTGACTTGGTCGTTCTAATTATACTTGGAGAAGAATACAAGTCATGAAGTTCCTCGTTATGCAGTTTTTTTCCAACCTCCTACAATTTTGTCCCCCTGCAGTCCAAATATTCTCCTCAGCATCCTGTTTTCAAGCAGCCTCAGACTATGTTCCTCAATTACTGTCAGAGACAAAGTTTCACGCACATACAAAACAACAGGCAAAATTGTAGTTTTGTATGTTCTAATTTTTGCGTTTTTAGACAACAGGCGAAAAGGCAAAAAGTTCTGGACTGAATGGCAGCAAGCGTTTCACGGACCCAGTCTCCTCTTAATTTCCTCCTGAATCAAATTTTATTTCTTACTGTCGTTCCCAAACATTAGAACTGTGCCACATTCTCAGAAGATCTGTTAGCTGTCTTTATGTCATGATTTTGCTCCGCATTCTGGTGACGCAGCAGCAACATATACTTAGTATTAATCGTCAATATATTACTAAAATGTGCGTAATTGTAAAAATACCTTTCTCGGAAAAAGAGAAGGCATGTTACTGTGCCGGGTTAGGCCGCGCCATAGCTCAAGCGGTTAGTCGCTGGCTTCCCACCGCGTCGGCCCGGGTTCGATCCCGGGTCTGGTCAAGTGGGATTTGTTGTGGACAAAGTAGCGCTGGGGCAGGTTTTCTCCGAGTACTTCGGTTTCCCCTGCCAATCTTCAGTCAACCAATTGCTCCACAATCACCCTCACCTATCATCTGGGGCTGGTACATTAGGCCAGAAGTGGCCGCAGTACAAGGGACTTAGCCCCACTCCACTAGCAATAAAAAAATACTGTGCCGGGACTACGGGATATTTTATTTTAATTAATTAGTTATTTTTGTACGAAATGAACGATGGGATGCCAGAAACAGAAGGCTGAGTATTACTGATCTGTTGCACTGGAGTTACACACAATAACTGAAGAAAGCTTTCTGTTCTTGTCTGAACTTCCACAAGCTTTTGCGAGTCATTTTCTTTCCATGGTCGCAATTTTATTTGCTCATTGAGTTTCACACAATCTGTAAATGGCCGCAGACATCTTGGTTGATTTTCATTTCGTGGTGAAGGTAATAAGAAGCAGTTGTGTTGTTATTCACAGACAGGTTCAACAAATCTTATGAAGGACGTACACCCGCATATCACGGTCTCGCTGCAGCAGTGACTGGCTACGGCAGGGATGGCAAACCATTTGCCCCGAGGCCAGTTTCGGCACCGATGGATATGTCAAGGGCCACGGTGATTACAGTGCCTGCTAGCGATGATTATGACCTTGATTATTGGTCCGATGTATAAATAATAGGATTAAAAATGTTGTTATAAAACTAGGATTCTATCTCTACTGAATTGTGAATGGTACCTGGGGCCTCTGTCGTCATGACAATGCTTCTTTTAGGTTTGTTAGTTATGACACTGTGCAGATTACTGGTGTCATGCAACACCGGAAGTTGTATTGTTGAGCCCTATGGTATGCTCGTCATTATCCTGGAGGATAGAACTCTTCTGTATGAATTACTTCTCTCCCACAGCTTAGCCTAGTGCCCAGTCCATTATAACTTCATATGTTTCAGTATCCTAACAATGTTAAGGGACGTATTTATGCCTAAATCCCGAAGGTCTTCTGTCTTGTAATTTTCTCACTTACTGCATCCTTATTAAACTTCAGTATTTTCCTGAACAGTTTGTTTTCAAACACTGTAATTTATACTTTTCCCTTAAAGTAAATGACCACCTTTCAGAATAACAAAAAAGTATAGATTTGAAGTTTAGAAGACGTCCAATAATCAAATAAGGAACCAAAAAAGTCGGTATTTAACTATGGTTACTTTAAAGGCCGCACCATAGCTGAAGCGGTTAGTCGCTGGCTTCCCACCGCGGCGGCCCCGGTTCGATCCCATGTCTGCTCAAGTGGGATTTGTGGTGGACAAAGTGGCACTGAGGCAGGTTTTCTCCGAGTACTTCGGTTTCCCCTGCCAATCTTCATTTCACCAATTGCTCCACAATCACCCTCACCTATCACATGGGGCTACAATAGGCCAGAAGTGGCCGCAGTGCAAGGTACTTACTTAGTCCCACCCCACTAGCAATAAAAAATTGTTGCTTTACAACAAACCTCGTTTAACAACAGTGGGCGATGCAATGTCTATTTTTGGGCAGTACATACAAGTCAGGCGGATGGCGGTTCGTCTCAGACATACCTTGCATATTAATGCATTTGTATTGACTATGTTTCCATTCCGGGTTCACTAGCTGTGTAGTAATGATCTATATAAGGCATCTTTTTATGCCAAGGGTATTTACTTCATTTGTTCCAAGACGTTGAACTCAGGGAACGATAGTAAACACTAACAAATAGGATTGTAAATGTACATACGTAACGTGCGCTTTCCGCAGAAGAAATTATAAATTATCTTTAATTTTTGCCTCCTGTTAGTGTATATTGTATTTTAAGGTACGTCGGTGGCCGTTAACACAAACACGAATAAATAAAACATATTAAAATGTTCATATGCTTTAGATAAACTGAATATTTAGAACTACGGCAAATTCTTCTCTCTTCATAAACAAGCATTATATTCTTATTATTAAAGCACCCGTCAATAATGCAACAATATATTTCTTAAATGTAAAAGATATATAAAATATCTTTCTCACTAAAATTGCAACTGTAATACTTTACAATGTTGCTAAATCATAAAATGTCATTAAGACACTAAAAGTATGACTTATACAGTAAAAGTGATCAGCAAATTACTAAAATGTCTCTAGTTTTCCATATGTTTCTTCTCACTTTACAACATGTTTCGGCCGCACATGGGCCATCATCGGGCAATTTTCCTTTTGTTTTCGGAGAGACAGAAAGACCGCATTAGTAACACATATGCGTAGAAATACGACACGCAAAAACTACGATGGCCACAGAAGAGTATAATGACAGCGTTCTAGTCGTGAGATAAAACTAAACAATGACTATAGACAATTGAACAGTGCGGTGGTCTCCCCGAAAACAAAAGGAAAATTGCCTGATGATGGCTCATGTGTGGCCGAAACATGCTGTAACGTGATCATGTAACCAACTAACCAAGGAAGGCAAATTAATAAAAGAAAAGTATATCGTGAATTATGGAGTTTGTGATTGTTCTTGTTATGTCGATTAACATGAAATTTTTAGTGTGTTAACTTGGTTAAAGTCAGGCAATTTTAACTTTATTGTTTGTGACAGTTATATGCTCATTAACCATGCAACTTTAAGTATGGTCATTTGTTTAAAAAAAAAACTAGGCACTTTTAACCACCTCTTTGTGAAATTTCGTTGCATGCTGATTATTTGAAAATTGCATGTAATAGCTTGGTAAATTATTACGGAAAGTAAGTCTACCTAATAAAGTAAAAACATGAGGTAAAGTTGTCCCTGTGCCTAACTAATTAAACACTACGCCATATGGGGTAGGGGATGTATAGATCCACATTTTCTTGACCTCGGCACCAGGCGGAGGTGTGTAGTCAGCTTCACGCCTCGGCCGATTTAGCCCGGACAAAGAGCCCCCGGTGCCTACTGGATAGGAGACGGTGGGCCCCAAAGCCGGTCTGGACGACATGGAGAAGATAAAATTCTTGACCCTACCGGGACTCGAACTCCATCCCATAGCCAGTCACTGTACCGACTACGCTACGCTGATTAACTTGCCGAAATGTTTATATTTCTTCTTTATCGTCACCTTGACAGAAAGGTTCCCATACATAGTGAGTCTGCTACTTACCATAAACTGACACTACAGTAGCAAATAGGAAGAGCGCTGTGGCTGGTATCCAGCTTCCAGCGGTAGTCATTGCAGCAGTTGTGGTTCCTGTTCTTCCCGGTCGTTGATATCTCCGCGAGAGAGACTACTCGCTTAGCGACTGCGTATGCCTCACGGTATCCCACGTCTTTTGTGCCCTCGGTTAATAATAAGCGGATGTGTTGAAGGGCAGAGGAGGGGCTGGGGGATGATAGCGTCGTGAGATGAGGGGAGCATCTTCCCCTCTCTCAACCCCCTCCGCTCATCACTGAAAAATAATGACGCCGGTCAGGTGTAGCCATGTTTATATGGTAATGTATACACACGCCTTTCTTTTCGAACAAAAGAAAAATATTGTGGCGTCTAGGAACCTGACATTCCTAGTCAGTAGACCACAGGTATACCTGTACGGAGACATATGACTTTAGCCTTACTTACTTACTTACTTACTTACTTACTTACTCATGGAGCTGAGCCCTTCCGGAGGAGCCGCCAATTCTGCAGCTACTCAAGAATTTCCCAGCATTCACATTCATTACCGTGTTCACAAGAGCCCTCCACGTGTCCCTACCCTGAGCCAGATCAATCCAATCAATACCATCCCATCCTATCTCTCTAAGATCCATATATGACTTTAACCTATCATGACAAATGTAGGTCATAAAGCAAACGAACCGAGACAAAATTCTTAATCGGCAAACCTATATGTAAAGAGTCCCCTTGGGACACCTGAGTGTAGGTGGGAGGATAATACTGATATATGTCTTAAGTTATAAGATAAAAGAAAAGTAAAGCTGCCCTTGTAACAGGCCGTGAAGGTCCATAAGGCTATGAGAGATCGAGGCTCCCATAACTTCTAGACAGTCGGCTCATAGATGGCCGTAAGTTTGTCAGCCGGCCTCCCTTTACCACCCAGGAAAATTATTTAATTAATTCGTGGTACTCATTTCCGTTAGAAGCTGAGTCGACCCCAGGACCATAGTGCGGCTGGAAGGATTAGGTCGATTTAAAAATCCAAGACATCAGGACTCGATCCCGCGACCTTCCGGCTTGTAGCATAGTGCCTAAGGTATAGGTTATGAGGTCGTTGTCTGGTTTCTACTGTTCGGAACAGTAACTAATGACAGGCTGTTGTGAGCATAGTAATGCGCTTTGAAATTCCATATTGTTACGCGTATGAATGTGACTATAGACGGGGTTTGGATTGGTGAATCAAAGTATTGGCCACTTATACACTCACAACTTGTAGCTCCAATCTACAAGCATTTATAGAGCCATCGCTGTTCTCCACACGTTACGAATCACTAGAGCACATGCCAATTTTCTTCCAGTCTGCCCTGTCTTCACTAGACGTATCCTGGTAACGGCTCCTAGCAGTTGAGATTCTTTAGCTTCCATGCTCACGCCATTGTTAGCTGGCCACCGTCTCACAACTGAACCAAACTCATAGTCTGGCGGTTTACCTCCATTCAGTTGGTCTTGGCGCCAAGCCCCTTGAGACTCACGACCAGAAATTTTTCCAACTAAACCCTTTCGGTCATAGTCCTTATGTAACATCCTCTCTGACATAAAGATAGGTCTGTCGTTTACAATATCTGCTGGTCTTGGCCAACGCAGTCATTCTCAGGTCCTAGTCCAGCCGGACTCGCGACCACATTTTACTGTCTCAGTACCTCAGGACCTGAAGGGCCAGGTCCACGTATTTATATCCTTCAGAAACAGTGTGGCCCGGTTATACCCCCAGGCACTGCGGTAGCGTAGTGGTTAAGGTACTATGCTACAAGCCGGAAGGTCGCGGGTTCAAGTCCCGATGAGGTCATTGGATTTTTTCAATTGACCTAATCTTTCCGGCCGCACTAGGCCCTGGGGTTTACTCAACCTCTAACAGAAATGAGTACCAGGAATTAATTAAATGATTTTCCTGGGGAGTGAAGCGCGGCCGGCGCGTAAGGCTGACAACCTTACCGCCATCTTTGAGCTGATTGTCTCTTTGGCTCAGGTCTCCACAGTGAAGTCCACCGAACAGATGGTACACTGAGGATAGACCGTTACCACCACCGGCACATAATACTTCACATTTTGCTCTTTTTCTATCGAACTCAGAATGCCCGGTTACATGTCCCATTCCCACAACGACATGAAGACCGACTCTGAGACCGACCCCGTCTCCTGTCCAATGTCTTCCAAAGACTCCTTCCTGCATCCCGCTGGGGGTAAAGCTGCTGGAGCGTGAAGCTTGTACCTAGTGCCGATGTGAAAAATGTGTGGAGTTTTGCCTCCATGTCTTCAGTATGAGTTAATGATACGTTGCTTAAATGTGGGGGCAACTTTACCTGTATCCATCAACCAGATTATAACATCACAACAAAATGTTTGGAATTTATGATTTTAGTTAGCCTTGAAATTCTTTAGACAACGTTATAATGGCATCATAGCCACGTACCTATGTAGCTTAGTCGATTTGCATAATCAGACACCCCCTCCCCTAAGAACATGATTCTGAAGAATTTGCCCAAGGCAGCTAATACTAACTTGCCTATATTCTCTGTATGAAATACGTACGTCCCCTATGCAGTGGTGGTCACGAGACTGCCATATGAATGCGGATTGGTTTCAGCTGTTTATGAAAGCTCTATATTCCTTGAAACAGGATTTGGTATATGCTGGATTTCAGGTTCTCACATTAGTGACTAAAGAGAGTTCTGTCTTCTGGGATATAACGCCGTCTAGTCCGGTGAAAATCAACCGGAGATTCGGAGGAACATATTGCCTCCAGCGTAATCATCGGCCCTGAAGATGGAGACGATATGTTATTGCGAAACTTGGTAGATTTCACCCAAAGTACATGGCGTTATATCCCATAAGATATAACTCTTCATCTGCCTTTGTGCGCTTATTTTGGTCTCGTGCTGTGTTCGTATATTTAACTCTGACAACTTTATTTATTGGTCTGTAGGAGAGTATCTGCATTTTTATTTTTGGAGTTTATATTTTCATCGTCAGCACATGCAAGTACCTGTTTGGCTACGCGGTTGAGAACTTGTCGCTATATTAACCAAGACACGGGTACCGCCTGCAGATTCCATGGAATCCAGCATGCGACTGGCATTTGTTTAAGTTGGTTTGTGGAGTGGGTGCTGCCGGGCTACTGCTAAAAGGGAAAGTGACGTAATCTCAGAAACCTGCTGTGTACAGTGCAAGACAATGGCCTGCTTGGAATCGTCCTAAGTGACTAAACCACTTTTAACACATCTCTTTAGTAATGGAAAGTAATTTAGGCTATGTGAAAAAGTACTTCTTGGGCCGTGTCGTAGCTCTAGATGGTTAGGCGCTGTATTCTAACAGCGGAGCATCGGGTTAGATTCCGGCGACTTCGTGTGAGATTTTTGGTGGACGAAGCGGCACTGGAGCTGTTTCTTTTTCTGGCTTTCTTTGGTTGTCCTCTGTTAATTACGATCCAGTCATTGCTGCAGGCAGCACATTATCACATCCTTGGTCTTCCAAGTTTGGGGCTTCGTTTCTCACCTGGCGCTTGACTAGTTACGTAGTAATGGGCTTCGAACCTCTGCTGAACTCCTATGCAACTTCTCGGTCATTCTTTCTTTTTATTTGCGTAATTTTTGCTGCCTTCCTTTGCTGTCCCTCTCTGATATTGCTTTTCCCTCTGTAAATTTCTTTGTTTCTTCATCGGTTCATCTATTTCATCCTTCCTTTCATTCTCTGTCCCTCTTTGTTTCTTTGCACTGCTATTTCTCACTGCCTCCTCATCCTCCCCCTAATATTTTCCTAAACTGTATATAATTACAAATTGCCAGACAAAGAGCCGCCATTTACGGGAATCAGATTACAAAAATAGAGTCTTAGCTGTAGTAACGTGCAAGTTAAAAAATCTTGGTTGTACATTGCCCTTTGTCTGAGGTGTTACTTATATATATATCCCCACCGATGGTGTCACCACCTTATCGTGGTGGTGGGGTTTGAGTGCTACCGAGACCCTGAGAGCTATGCTGGCGGTAGCGTAGCTACTGGTAGAAGCACCCATGCCGGACAGGTGAAGGGGTAGGAACCAGACGAAGAGGGATACCCTGGCCCTCGAGTTTGGGGGTTGGGTGTGAGGCTAACAACCTCACACCGTGAAAACTAAATTGTTTAGAAACCAGATAATCAGCGTCGGTTGGATGGAGGAAAATCAGCGAGCAGAAATAAGTGGGCCACGACCTCTTCCATCCACACTCTTCTCACTGCTTCACTCTGCCATTCGATGTTTCATCGTATGAAGAAATGAGGAATAGGGAGGAATGGAGACTGATTGTTCAGGAGGCCAAGGCTCACCCTGAGCTGTAGCGCAGACTTCCAGAAGCTTCGTGAACATTGTGCAACATAAACTTTGTCTAGAACATCTTTGAGGGCGCTTCATACCTCGGATTGACAACAAGAAATCTCATGTTCAATGATTTTGCGTCCCATCATGTTTTGAAAATAGAATATATCAAACGATGACAACGATATGCATCACAATCTGATGATGACGCATCGGCAGAGATGTTTCAGACAGGCAGTAAGTGTGTTCTGCCTATGAATCAGCCGTTGTTACACACGTATAAGAAAGTACTTGGTCAGTGACACTAGGTGTTTGCCACCGCTTGTCCATTTTTACGAGCGCCTGTAGTACTGCTGTCATAGGGTTTCAACAGCCTCTTTATTCGGAAGTACTTTTGCTGTTAATTGCTTTCAGAACGAGAGCCGGGTTAGCGACTGGCTACGGGTTCGACGACCGAGAGGTCGGAGTTCCGAGTCCCGGTGGAGGCAAAATTTTGTATTCTCCACGTCCGGGAGACCGGATTCAGGGGGTCCACCTAGCTTACTATCCAGTGGGCATAGGGGGCTCTCTCTCAGGCCGTAAAGCGGCCGAGGCGTGAAGCAGGCCACTCACCTCCAACTATTGTTGAAGGTCAAGAATGCATGGATCTATACATCCACCCCCTGTACACCTTCATGGCATAGTGCTGAATTAGTTAAGCATAGGGTCTTTATGTTTGCTCCAAGTCTGAATGTGTCTTGCCTCTTGTATATGCTCATGTATTTCCATCAGAATTCGTTGCAAAATCAGAATATAAAGACAGCTAATGTAGCCCTTGAACATGTATCTGAAG